CTCCATATGAAAAGGAAGCGACGCAAGCGCAAGAGAATGGAAGATTTTTTCCCTCTTGCGTTGGCCGGTTTGCGCTTGTGTCGGCTTGTGACACTAGTGAGAACCAGTCCTAACATAACATGGCCAATATTGTCCATAGGCAGGTCGCACGATACCATATGCCACCGCAGATATTTTAGCATGGTGATCTCGTTAAGGCTGACCGTCTGGAATGAACTTCACAAGCCTATATCAGTTTTAGTGCTCTCGATTAATAGCAAATATCAGCGCATAAATGATTATGCCGTCAATACCTCATAAATTATGTTACTAAGAAGCTAAGCGGTTTGATTAATGAGGTACCGTTTATGAGAAAAACTTTGAGAGACATTCATGTAGCGCGTGGTATGGGCTATAAATATTTTCTTTCTCATGGTTGGTTAGAGAATGACGTGTCTGAAAATATTATACTAGGCCCTGTTGTACGAAGTCTGGATAGCGCTATCCGGCGGATAAATCCTTATCCAGTGGATCTAAGTTGATGCTGCTATTCCATAACTCTATCCACTGGATAAGATTTATCCGTCCGATAGCGCTATCCAGGCTTCGTACAACCGGGCCCTGATAAATAAGGAGTAATACCAAAAGCAACAACAGCAAATTAAAACTAGAACCAGCGATATTAAATATTAGATACCAGCAACAGAGGGATGAAGAACTAGTAACATTATCATCATTATCTTCATTATGAAAAGTAGCAGCATTGGACAATAACCATCACAAAACACAAGGAAAAATAAAAACCATAGCATGTAGGTTAAGAACAAAAGTAAACTCTGACCGTGTATTACACACACTGAACTACATCATTTCACATCAAGAATTAGCAATATAAAACAAGATTTGCGAGCAGAAACTACTAAGGTGATTGTCAATCATGTCAAACTGACGTAATCAATGCGACAAGAGTGATCAATGGGCGATAAACTGAAGAATGATACGAGAAATAATCACTATCTGACTAGCTGATTGAGTAAACACGAACCGAATCAATTATCTTGTAGTCGATATATTTAGAACAAAAGTCCCACACCCTCGGTTCTCGTGAAATTAGTTTCTTGATTTTTCCTCCTCCTTTCCTATTCCTTACTTTCTTTCTTTTCTTTTTTCCTTTTTTTCTTTCTTTCAAGATTTTTCAAGATTTTTTTTGCTTTGTTTTTGTTGTTGTTGTTCTTGCTGTGTTTTTTCCCCTGGATGAAGACCTTCAGTTATTCCTTTCAGTATTCGTCAACATAAACTTAATGTGAAAATTATATACCTAGATCCTTTGCAACAGAAACCACAAAACGCTATCTATTTAGCAACATGTAAGGTGACTTAAAGTGTCGCTTGCCGCTTAATCGCTTTGATTTTTTTCAATTTTTCCCCTAATGGTCAGTGAGAGGGGGTTCCGTCAATGCCGAGGGCTAGACGAACACTAGTCTACCAACATAATTATCAGCCAATTCATCAACACATTGTTCGCTATTCTTTTTAATCTAGGAAGTCTTGAAGTCTGGCCATCTTGATGATGCTATCAGTGGTCAAACCACATTGTGGACATTCTTCGGAAGAGGCAAAGAGGTTGCTTGCCTTCCGGAGTGGTAAAAAACCAACGTCTGATAAGAACAAACTCTCTTATTCAATTAATAACTGTCGTTAACAAATAAACAAGAGGGAAAAGACTTGAGTTCTGCATTTCTTCAAGGCCTTAATTCAATTATTATCAACAGGGTTTGTTATGTGGGTTAAAGATGTGAGATAACGGAAACAATGGAAATAACATGGATTCGCGGGTCAAAAAACACAACAATACGGACGTTATTTTAAAAATAATATCAATTGGTTGTATTTCTTTAAACTTTGACTTAATTGCGAGGCCGTAGAGGGAAAGAACTTGATGGCATTGTACGAGATATGATTAGCAAACAAATCCGTTTACTAGAAACGAACACAATACCGATTTACCATGCATGACGTTCATACCCGATGGTAAAATTGCTACAAATTTAATAGATAGTTTACTCAGTACGTACCACGCAGTCAATTCAGACGTCATCTTAAGACTAACAAATTGATAGTAATGATATTAATAGTCACAAGACTTTGTCTTGATACTACGAATTTCTCGACAGGATGGACTTCCTGTGTTATTGATCTATCTGTCTCAGTCTGTCTGTTCGGATTGTACTCTTTATCAGTACTGGATGCGGGATTAGATCCCGTGATAACTCTAATCTATTTTAGTCCGTATGCTTAGCATGACTTGTGTCACGTGACCTACTAATCACAGGTGCATCATGATCAACAACATGATGGTGATCTTGCTGTACGTGATATGATAGCATTGTAGTGAATGGAAAATGAACAGGGACCTCTTTTTTGGGCGTAATTTCCCATTTCAGACCACGTGTCATTCCCTAGAGTATCATTTCTTTGTTTAACGGCTGCGCATGAGAAGACACATGAATATAGATACCATTCAAACAAAGAATCTGATTCTCATGAGAATGACACTTGGTCTGAAATGTGAAAGCATTACGCCCATGGTGAAGAGCTATATTCCTTGATCATCTTTGACATCTTTTAATCGATGTCCACATTTCCAAATCTCTCTTAAAGAAGACGAAGTACTGCGTCCAACTGACCGTCCAACCTTTGAAAGTCTACCATCCCTGACAAAAATGAAAGTTCAGTGACTCGTAATCGACGGTTCTGTTGCTAGTTGCTAGATTTTTACCTCTGGTAACCGATCAATCCTAAATCAACCTTTACTTTTCCGTCAATCTAAATTTCATTCGTCCATCAGAATATATAATCCCTCAGCCAACCGACCAGTATTGTCAAAACACCCCACTGTTTCACTTGTAGATTATTGACCGACTACCTATGGATTGCGGTCAACTTTTTTCAGCAAGTGTGGCAATTTTCGGAATTTCAAGAGGTTCATAGCTGTGAGTAACTGAGTGACTTCCGATATTTTTTTCTTTGTCAAGAAAACCACTTGCATCTTGCCATTTGCGCATTGAGTCTTGATAAAGACTGGCCCCTAAGATATTCATCACATAGCTACAGTTCATTTTAAATTGACTTCATCACATCTTTTGGACTAAACTCCAGCCAAACTATCAAGCGTGACAAGCGCCATAGACGGCTAATATTGCGACATGTTTTTCGTGTTTCGATATAAAGGTTAGAAAGGAGGTCACTGGGAGGTTGGGATTCCCTGATCACGAACAAAGCTGCGTTGCACTAAGAGAAGTGCAAGAAGAAAATCGAGGTATAACTGTATAACTACATATTACAGTCTTAAAATATGCTCTGAGGAACCGGAACTATTGCACTTAAACTTGTATTAAGTACGCAGAAACCTCTTGAGGTGACGCTCCATCGACACAGGTCGGTAGCACTAGGGAACTGTAGCGGGTTGGGGTCGAACCGCACGTGCTGACAGACGATTAATCATTTGTTGTTTGAAAACTTTAGTTGTTTTAAGAAATTCTGATGATGTTTACTGTACTCTATGATTTATCTATTCACAAGGGTTTTGTTTCTCTATATTCATAAAATCTTTGATTATCTGCCGATGGTAAACCCCACGGCAACCTTGCACTGACCGTGGGAGTCTTCTGTCACCACGAAACAGATTGAAGTTTCAATGAAAATCAGCGGTGAGTTTTGCTGTTCAAGTAATTTTGACCCTTGGTTCTTTTGTATGTTTGATACTGTGAAGTCAATGCATCAATGGAACAGTATAGGAACCAAATATCATATCACAATCTTGACCCTTGCACCTCGCTTCGCTTGACAATTTATCTATACGATTTGCGTATCTTTAAAAAGGATTCCGTATCTGATCCATTGTAATACTAAATTACGACAAACCCCTTTTTCTCCCTATCAGACGAAAAATATGTCCTATTTCTTCTGTAGGAATGGACGTTTTTGAACGAAATATCAATATGTTTTTCTGTAAAAAAATTTTTAAGAAACCTTGAGCCGGAAGGAAAGGGTGTTTTTCCTTGGTATTGCCATACCCATACGCCGTGGGATGAATCTATAATACTTTGTTTATTTATCCTATAATAAACTTTTAGATGTTTAGTTGGGTTTAAATCAATTGAAAACAACTGAAATCGAAAATTCCATATCTTTATATAAGCATTATTCATTGGAATCGAGGGAAATTCCTTGACCTTATGTTAGGCTATCGTATCCCCTGTTTTGAACAACGGCAACGTATTTCTAATTATTAAAAATTGTATATTGAACAAGAAAGAAATAATTCCAATCTGTCTTTTAAATTTCTGACCCCAATCTCCCACCAGAGTCTTAGACATATTTCCGCCATTACCAACAGAATCTTTCTTCTTCAGCAACCTTGAAAACATGTCTCGCCGAAGATTGTCAATGAACTTATATCGCTTTAGGAGTCGGATTGCTTTTAGTAAGACGTTTTAGTCCAGTACCTAGCCAGATTAAGATCTTATCATTGGGTTATTGCAGTGAGGTTGAAAGTGACACGATGGGACCCCATATAGTGCTTGTGGATTGTATTACGAGTAAGAGTGCTAATGGCCAAGAGAGTAGGGATGCCAGGGTCATTTGTAACGTCAATATTTTTCTAGCAAACATTATGCAGAACTACAATCATTTTTTATCAAAGAAGAGCAAATAGATTTCAAAGTAAATATACTTTTCAAGGGAATCTTTGGTCGAGAAAGAATTGTACGATGGACTCACAATAATAAGATGATGACCAAAGGAATTGGTTTGGAGATAAGTTAAGATGAATGTGTTTGTACAGAAGTCAAGATAGCGTTACGTTACCCTGTCCATATGATTCCTCATCAATGAAAAAAATCGGAACGCTGATTGGCTGAGAAACCTAAGACATCATTGAGCATCATATCTGTTTGTGAATAACGTATTCCATCAAGCAATTACTGTCAATTAGCCAACAGTATTAAATACAGTAGAGATTCTTATCAAACGAATGTGTGGCACGTCCGTAAAGGAGAAGCTGAAGAAGGCCAAGAGTCACCTTCCTATCCTCGAACCTTCATCACAGACTAGACCCGATCAAGGACTGCAGATTCATTGATTGATAGGACAACATTTGACTGATTTTAGCGGATTTAGGCTTGTAAGTTTGTTGTACGCTGGACTCAATTTGTGGCGCCGGGGCCAGAGTGACTGGATCTTGGTTGGCTGGAACTCGTGAGGTGTTTTGACAAGCCCCGGGAAGAACAATAACTCAGGTTGAGTGCACCATTGAGAAAATTGGCCCGGTTTCATTCAGACAAGACAGCAATCACTGGGTTACTAGTCACGTTTAAAAAAGAAAAACAGACTTCCATTTAACCATCGAAATTGTCACGCTCTATTCTTAATCCAGAGGATACAACAGAGCCAAACAATATCTAAAGAGGTAAGAAGGCAATTTTCATTCATTGTTTGTCGTAGATATGAATCAATTGAGTATCTTTGGAGTAATTGAAGCTACGGAATAGCTCTACTGATATACCCCGTATCGAGCGAAAGGGCAGAAGATGGCAGAGAACCTACAAAAAGATTTCTTCCTAATGAGTGCGATAGAAGCAAATCTTWAAATCTACAACCAATTTAGCAGTTCTTCTGCTTCTTTTGAATCATTCTGATAATCTAACTAGGAACGGGGCTAGCCAATTTGGTTTATCGCAAAGACATTTAGCGCCTTATATCGGTAGATATTATTAGTCTTTTTGACGTACAAATAAGTAAGCGGCTCTATGCCAAGGTTTAGATGCACTTTACTGTCAATTAAGTAGACTTTAGAGTATCGGAGTCAAGAAGTTTTGATTCTTGTAACGTTTGTCTAGCGCCTTATAATTGGTTGATGTTGGTCCAGCGGGCTAACTTGGCAGACAAGTTGTCTCAGTTTGTTGTTCAAATCGTTAAAGAAAACAATTGTTTGTTCTTACGTTTGTAGACTTTGCTTTCTCACTCATTTGTAACCTAAACAGCTTCCTGAATGATTCAATTGCTGTCAATTTACGAGAAAGTTATTGTATTTAATTAGTGCATTTTATCATGCTTTATCGGTCGGAAAAGGAAAGCAAAGCGCGGAGAATCCTTCTGGAACGCAAGACATATCGTTTGAATACGCAAAGGAAGAGCCACTAAAAAGAAAAATCACGAAAATTGGCAACAAACTTTTCGACTGACCCTCCCTCTGGCGTTGAAGGTGTCAATCTATATTTATATGAACAATTGTTTTTCTCTCTTTTGCACAGTTGGAGTTTCTTGATCAATGGCGAAATTTCGATGAAAATAGTTACAATTAGTTGATCTTCACTTTATAAATTCTGACTTGAAGAAATAGGTCTTTGAATTAAAGTGAATTACGTTAAATCGTGAGCCGTAAGCCATTGAAAATCGACCGGCATAAATCATTTAGTGTCACGTCAGTCCGTACACAGATTGCTGTAACTTCTGTAAAACGTTTTCAAAATAGTGCGGGGAATTTTATTACTAGTTTTTAATAAGTGTTCTCACCAAGAGCAAGCAAACACCAAACAAGACAGAAATTAAATCAAATCTAGACGCGTGTTACTGATAGCGAGAAGATAAGAGACCCTGCGATCGCCCAACATGACAATTTTCTCGGCCGCGATAGGGGGTTTCTTTGTTGGAATGTGAGTTGGGGTTAAGGTTTATCTGTCCAACTCGTACCCAGAAGTAATTTAAATCATCAAATCATCATCCGTTATCGGATTTCCTCGTGTTGAGCTCTTAGTGTCCGCTCTCGGAACCTTAGAAGTCGATTTTAGCTTTGATTTTCTTGGTTGAAGACACAATATGCCAAGATGTGCAGCAAGAAAAACAAATTCCAGGAATTCTTTGTGTGAAATTTAACACTTTGACTAACAGGGCTGCCTTTTTTGAAGCCTCCTTCAATCTGGCAACAATCTTTCAAATAGTTGTTAGCTGGCCATCTGTAATATTGAATTGATCACCAGCTGAAAACACTCCGTGAAGAATCCTTGAGTTGTGAGTAAAGAGCCCGAGGTTGAACCGGAGGCAGAGGGCAGGCGATGAGGACTCAATTTTTTTCTTGTACGAATTGACTCGGCACTGAGTGATTGAGTTATGAAGCCTTTGACGTCATTTATGATTAGATAATGTAGCAAAATTATAACTATAAAATCTATACTAATTATAACTTTGAAACAGTGTATTACTCTTATCTATTGGGTGTAAAACTGGAGAGCAAGTACTGTTGTTCTTCACAGGAAAATCGGAATATTTTTGGTCAATCCTATTTTAGGATGGATGGTTATCGAGCTCAGACCAACTGACACTGATTAAAACCCCACGCATTGATATCTATGTTAAATACTATAATAATACTCATCTCTATCATTGAGTATAAGTCCTACAAATACTATTATAGACTGTATATTACAGGTATATACATTATAGGGATACGGTCAATGAGAGCGCAAAAAGTTAAACTATGGTGGATATATAGAGTCTGTTGATAACGAAGCAGCAGCCATATTGGATGACATTTGTACTGTTACGATTAAGTAAGATTTTATTTAATCGGGAAAAAGAATTCATGTGAAAATACCCATATTAGAGGATGGATGAATGGATGAATGGA